ATCATACCCTCAACACATGAGCATCACTTGTTTCTCAGTCTAGAACCCTCTTGCCTACGTCCTACTTTTGGAAATTCCAAAGCTGGGGCCTGACATGGTTTGACCACAAATCCTTCAGACTTTAAGGTCTCGAGAATATGTTGTGAAATTTGCTGCTATCGATGCTTGCAGTGATCCCACCTCGAAGCTCTCCATGTTGGACCCAATCTTGCAAATAAACTCTATCAGTGTCGGAACGTTTTACCTTTGCGGCCTTTGAGAACCTAAGATTGGACTCAGACATGTTTTTTCTTTTCAAGGCAGTCCAACCTTGTGATGTATGATGGTGAATTGTGACTACTGTAGAAGACACAACGGACTGAGAATTCTGAGAGGTAGCTGGCCTTCCCGATTTGTTCTGAAAGGATTGAAAAAAAGGTTTGAAAAACTTGAGGCGGGCAGGTGCCCCATCATCGAAGAGCTCTGCCAATTGGATCGCCTCGTGAGGAACGTGACAGGAGAAGTGGCAATTTTCAGAACCCCAAAGTGATACTGATGGCTTTTGTATTGTTTGCCCGCTTCCCCCCCCTCGCACTAATGATTTGGTTCCTAGATGTTTTTTGGCAAACTTAATGATACTGATGACTTGCATGCAAGGCTTGTCCCGACATACTTTGCTTGATCCTGCTGCACTCACTTTCGAACAAATGAAAGAAATCCTGGAGGATCACAATGTTCCCGTGAAAGCACTGTGCTGCATCAAGAGGTTTAATATATATATATAATTCATCAAAAAGCATATTGTTTTCCCTGAACTTTCCTTAGTGCAGTTGGGCATTGACAGTAACTTCTATTCACGCCTCCGAGAGCAACCAGGAGATGTTTTCGCGCAAGGCAGTGCTTTCACGCAGCACGCTGAAACGGGCTGCAGAGTCGATAGAGTCTACCTGCCATCAATCTAAAGTTGGTGAACGCTTGCCCTGCTGAGATGCTGGGCTCGCAAGAATTGACAGACAAATTGAAGGACAAGAACACGACTTATCAACCAAGAAGCTAAAGCTCCTGGAATCACTAGTCCAGCGAAACATGCGAGGTACTTAGGGGTACGGGGGAGATAGCGCAAAACACAACAAAGTTATGACTCATGACTGGATAATATATGTATATACTCTGCAAAAAATGCTATGCCAATGCGCTGCTATGCAGTTGACGCATGGTGGCTGACACCGCGTACAATTTGGTAGGATCAACTGCATTGGAGGTTGGAAGGAAGGAATAGGAATTTCTTACTCGCATACAGCACTTCATAAGCTCACACAACCATTGTTGTTGAGCTTGCAAGGCTGCTCAATGTCACCTCCTGCTGAAGCTGGCTGGAAGTGAAAGCAAACTCAGCAGGATACCGACAACCAAATGCGCAAAGCTGCAACATGCCTTAGATCCATCAGTGGGCCTCAGCAGTGTTCGATGGCATCAATTGCCCTTGAGCACGCACAGCTCTGGATGATACGACTTCATGCGAATGTTTGCATAATCATGCCATGTCAAAGCATTCAGGTTTTTTTGTGTGTGCGCAGTGCCAAATGATCCGAAGATCAAAAGCTTGTCATCTGTCACCATCCTATACCCAGCCAAAATACAAACACCAAGCTTGCACCTACTTCACTGTCACATGGAGGTACTTGTCTATCAAAATCAACTAAGTCTTCCAAAGTCGCTCAAACAATATCAGGGTGTGCTTGACAGGTCAGACATCATTGAGAAATTACTCCTGTAGTTCTTAACGTTGCTTCATCTCTAATACCCTGGAATTGTGGTCAACCTCCCGATGGGGTCCAGGCGGTGCAACGTCTTCCAGCCTCCGGCGCCTAGGTGCATCACATCAGTGCAAAGCGATTGTCGACATGGTCTCAATCACCTTTAAGCAAAGCGAAAACAAAGCAAATCGGCCATCGCTGCTATGTTGGAGGCCATCGCTATTAGGTTGGAGGCCATCGCTATTAGGTTGGAGGCTATGGCTATTAGCACAACTTCAAAACGGCTAGGGAGTGGTTGCGAACCTTAAAGTCATCCATTCCCGATCCATCCCACCATATCCTTTGTTGCAAAAAGGGAGCAAAAAGAAAAAGTACGGTGTAGTCTGAAGGCCCCAAGAAAAAAATGAAAACAAGGAAAATACTGTGATCTGTGATCACAAAGCGCATCGTTTGGATCCATTCATTCTCATGCTGGTTCATTCTCGTATTTTTTCGTTAGGATCGAATCGCTGAGGTCGTTGCATTTTTTCCATGGACACGGCTAGGCGTCTGGCCTGAAAAGTCTTCGTCTCAAAGCACTGTAATTCTTCTTTCTTTCTGGACGTGAAAAGTCGGGGAGGGGTAAGTCTAGCTTCTAGAAAGCCTACGTTGAGTAGTAACTACGTGCGGGTGAGGCTCAGGTTTTTCGCATGGTCCAACTGTTCTGAATCTTTATATAGACCTTTCCCTTGTTGACAGTTCGTTCCTTTCGCGTGCGTTCCAAAACAAATTCGTGTCCAGCCACTTCCAAGCCTCACCGGCCAAATCCGCTGCAAGCTCATGAGCTGCAACATCCATGGCAACAGGCTACTTGGTAGCTGCTGAGGGCGGGCACACTTTATTTAAAGTACTTGGAAAAACAGGCTGTACAAGTCTAAGAATCTACAATCTAAGTATGCAAAGCTATGCGATGTGTGCAGAGTTTGAGCTTGCAATGTTAGCCTTAATTGTATAATATATATATATATATATACATTATATATATATGATTATATATGTATATGCATTGTATATACACATATATAGTTGAAGGTTTCTTAAGATCATCAGTGTTCCCAAATGTTGACAAAGCACATTGCCAACTGGTGTTAGCTGTTGCTCCTCTTTCATTTTTAGCGTTATGTATCATGTCAATATTTGCAGTGCACAAGGTTGTTGACACGACTAGCATTGGTATGCTGTTGAGTAACTCTTCTATATTATGACTTGAGGCCGAGGGTAGGTGACGAAAGCTAGCAGGGGTGCATCCGGACTGGTGGGACATCAAGCGGATTGAGGCAAATGCTCATGAGGTAAAACGTTGTGAACATGTAAGACACACAAACAGCAATGACACAGCCAACCTTAGAATTGAAGTCCCCGATAATTAAGGAAGCGTGGCTGGACTTTGCCACACTATTCGATGCATCCGATGTGTTTACGAACCTGTGAGCTTGTTGAATCTGTTGCACCGTATCCCAAAACCTCCACGGAGGAGTTGAACCAAAGTGGATGCCATAAGAGGTGCCCAAGAGGTGTCTCAGAGGCAAAACAAAGCTGCTTGCATGATTTACTTGGTTTCTTCTATCAATGTCGATGTCATGAACCTGTGAGCTTGTTGAATCTGTTGCACCGTATCCCGGAGGAGTTAAACCAAAGTGGATGCCATAAGAGGTGCCCGAGAGGTGTCCCAGAGGCGTCCCAGGGGGGAGTTGAACCCACGGGGGGGGGGCCCTACATATGAAGTTTTCACGTGATGCGGCGATCTCGAGGATTCCAGCCCCTCACTTGCTAAAGCAAGGACAACTCCAGCTAGCTGGTGCTAGCTTTCGTGATTATTCACACTGTTCTATTTGCTCTACTGTACTCTGATATGTTTGCTCTGTACAAGGCTTGCTTGTAGGCACCTAACCCATCACAACCGATCAAAACAATCAGTGAGCCTGGAGAAACTTCCCTGTAATATGATATCCTATGATACAGTACCGTCACGTGTTTTCTACAACGAATACTCGCACGTGGTGTGACAGGTATTGGCATGAGTCTTGGATTTCTGTCAACTGTCAGCGAGTTTGGCACCTGGACCTCGAAGTAGTATCGGCCTGCCTTCCCCACCCAAGCAGAGAAATTCTTGAAACTGCACTGAACTGAAGAGTGACAGGATCCTCCCAAACAGAAGACAGAAAAGAGAACACTAAATCCAGCGATTGAGATTGGCCCACAACTACTGACGTGCCTTGGCGCCAGTGTTCGCACGCACGGCTGATCGCAAATGCCTCTAAAAGGTTTTCTCAAGCAATTCCACGTGAGCTCACGTGTTCATGCACTGCTTTGCACTGCTTCAGGGAGTTACTAGCATAAGGAACCTAATAACGATGGCTTCCAACCTAAGAGCGATGGCCTCCGACCTACTACCGATGGCCTCCAATCTACTAGCAAAAAATGCAATTCAAAAGGCCTGAAAGCGCCCTGTGATAAAGAAGACACCAGCCTGCAAGTCTGAAGCTGTCGTTGGGAGACTGCGTAATATATTCATGGATGTTTGGACAGGCTTGGTTTGGTACTAACTTATATACTATATATTATATATACACCATTTTCAGAATAGATGGCTATATCCGGAAACGAACAGATGGCACCAGAAAGTGCCAAAAGCGCACGCGGCAAACCGTGAAAAAAAAAAACACATATATACCTATGCATCCTCAGGCATAATAAATGGCATTCCACCTATACTTGCGCCATCTTCTGCAAAGAACACTGATATAAGTCCTTGATTTTTGTAGACAACATCTCTGCTAAATTTCAATTGGTTTTAATGATGATAATTATGGTGGCGCCAAAAGATGGCGCAACTCATTTCCCTATCCTTTCCAGTCCTTCTTGTATCTAACATGTACTTATTTTCATCTCCTGTTGCTTAATTCTGTTCACTTCTCCTTTCCCTTCCCTTCCCCTCCCTTTTCTGGACTAGTCTTTCCATCTACAGTATGTTTTTTTATTTGTCTTTTGTTTGCTTTCCTTTCCTCACCTTTGCTTTCCTATCCATTCCCTCTCCTCTCCTTTTTCTTTCCTTTCCTTCATTCACTTCTCCTTTC